TCTCCCTTATATTGTATTCAGTCAGGTTACGCCCCTTGAATATTTTAAAAACCGTTTCTCCAAACAGGTTTACCACTTTGGTGTAGACCAAACAACAAAGTACAAGAATGTTGACCAGACATTTCTTTAAAAAATATTACAAGACAATTTTTTTATTGGTACAATTTATCTCGGCAACAGATAACAACCCCTCCCCAGATATTTTAAATTCCCAAAGTGTTGTTTTTTTTTTTAAATCTAGTATAGTTTGCCTATTTTTTTAAATTCTGGATTATTTTAGAATAAATAAATTAATTAATTAATTAATACAATTTTAAGGTGATTTATTTTATGTTTTTAAAGTAGACATCCGAGTATGCATATTGTATAAACTTGTATGTTAACATTGTTTTAAAGAATAAATCATAAGTAGTTCATTTTGATGCGCAGGCGGTTTCCATGACCACTAGAGTCGTATCGCTTATAACATGATGTGAGGCAAAGTTTCTTCACTATCCTTTTTATTTTGTTTCTCTGTGGACAACGTTTGGTAAGTGTCGATGCGAGAATAGATTGGGTCCTTAATAAAGGAATAAAGGACCTTCTCTGTTAAAAGTAACATGTTTTGCTGGTGTGTCCATCTATACACCTTAGCAATCATCACAGTCGCTGTAAACAGTCCCAAGAGTACCTCAGCATACTTTCAATGATAGGAGGATGGGTAAACTATGCTGTCTTTTAAAAGTCTAGTCAAAAAGGTGAAACACTGATACAATAATGTTTACGTTTTTTTACGCTTCCCCCCCCCCCCTCCCTCAGCGACAATGTGTATCACGTAATATGTGACTAATTATGTAGGTCACAGGCATTAAATATTGTTCTTGCATGCTCTCCACACTCGCCTTAATGCGCCTTTGTTGTTTTGCAATAATAATATAAAAAATAGAGAAAATAGTAGACTAAGAATAAAACATACATGGAGCAGACATAATGTCTAAGGAAGAATAGTTCCCCTATTAGTTTTCATATCTCAGTATTCTCCCCCTCCCTACCCTTGCTTATCTGAGTTTGTTTTAAGGGCTTTTTAGACAAAGGGCAGACTATCAGTTAATCAGACTGTAAACAGGTATTGTTAAACAAGCCTTGCCTCCCCTTCACCCCCCCCCCCCTTTTTATATTTTTTAAAGAGTATTACCTTTTATTTTAATTTGCCTACTTCCTTCCCCGAGACACACACACGCACACACAGTTATCAAAACACGCGCAAAGCATACACACACACTTCATATAGCAAACACAAATACAGACACACTTGATAGTGTAAAAAACGCAAACCGAACGCTCGGCTTGTCCAAAATGTCGCAGCTTGTTGATAAGATAAGAAGCGGTTTATGTTTCATTGTTTCTATGTTGTGGGTTCATTGTTCATAGGCTCAATGTTGTAGGCTCATTGGTGATAGGCTCAATGTTGATAAGTTTATTGTTAATAGGCTCGATGTTGATAGACCTTTAGCACACATGCAATATGATTGGTTTTTCCTTGCAATAATGTGCACTGTATAGCTTTCATATCAACTAAGCCAATCTCACTCGAAACTATTGAAAGTCTAAGGAGAATGCACACAAAAAATATGTACCGATCACCTCCTCCCTTGTCTCTCCTCTCTTTCTCCCTATCTCTCTATCACTATCTCCTCTCTCTTTCTCTCTCCCCCTCTTACTATCCCAAGCTCTTCTACCTTATCTTTCTTTCTCTGGGCTTGTTTGTTAATCTCACTTTAAAAAAAAAAAGCACGTGTCACTGCTACTGGTTCCACCAGGTGACGCTCCTGTTCGAAGGTAAAACTACTTAAACCCAAAACAACTCAACGTTGAGATTATTTTTAAACCTAGTTTCCATAGCAACAGTCTCGGCGGTTGTCCCACTTTCACACGGCTGGTCGAAAACTAAAAGAAATAAAAAGCAAAAAGACAGAAGTGGCCCAAACAGATGCCATGCATTCTGTATTAAAGTCATGACCAGGTCTTTTCAATGCTGACGCGCACAGATCAGAAATACGATTAGCATACAAATTGTCATGTGATGAGAATCCTTGAAGCTGATTGGTCCGTCCTGTCAGGAACTGGAGGCTACCGGCATGCACCGGTTTCAGTGTTGTGCCTGTTGGTCTCGGGACATGGACAATTAATCTAATGGTGTTTAGCCTGTCAATGGCGCATCGATTTTTTTTCTTCTGGTATCTGTGAGTCAGGGGCGTATCAAATGTTTGAGACTTAGCTTAAAAAGGATTTTTTTATAGATTAGACGCTTTTGATTTCCCTCAAACTTTGGAGTTATTTACTTTAGATCAAACACTTTCTTTCAGTTGAATACATTAAAAGTTTGAAAGGTGGAAAATAGTTTATTACATTATACTATATTGTGGCTACATTTTAAAAAATCCTTTTAAGGTCATTACTATAATGACTACCTCGTTGGCGACGCTGAAAAATCTTTAGTTTTTTGACAGCTATAATTTTTTAAAGTATAACAAGAAATAGATTTTAATTTGGCTAGAGGTCTAGAAAATATTTATCATGAACTGACTTAGGTCTTCGGGTATGTTCGCATTCATTCAAGAGTTAATAAATTAATATTCAGGAACACCGTCTTCTATAGATTTTAAGGCCTATCATTGACATATTATAAAGCCTTGTAAATCTATACATTTCCTTAACCAGAATTCTGTGGGGGAAGGGGCGAACAGGGAGTAGGGCGGGGTTTAAAATGTTCAATTTAAAGAGAAAAAAGATCCAACATTCATTAGTTATTAAAAGATAAAAAAGTTACACTAAAAGTTGTGTAAAGGAGCTATTGCCTTTTTTAACTCTCTCTCTCTCTGTAATTATTTACCACATTCTGGTTGAATCAACGCTGGTATCGTCAGTTAGGAGAGAAAGAGTTAATATTTTTAAAAATGCGTTTTCTAGTTTTTCTTGTTCCATTACGCTTGCATCTCAACGTTTCTTGCTACGTGACACTCCTATATATCAGGGGTTCTCAACCTGTGCCTCGCGACCCCCTTGGGGGTTGATTAACGACTAAGATTATCAAAACTATGGATTGTTAGTGTCTTTTCTTCTATTGCTGTATGTGTGTGCGGGGTGGGGGGGGTCGCGGCAGAGTGGGGTTTGTAAAAAGGGGTCGACGGGCTTTAAAGGTTGAGAACCGCTGCTTTATGTATTGCACACATTGCACATTGATTTTGTTTTACTTACTAAAGATAAGTTTGATAAGTAGAAATCGTGGGTTGGGTCACGTAGACATACAACTCGTTATTAGTCCTTTTATCATCTACTGCTGACGGGCGTTGCTTTAGAAGGAAAAAAAACTCCCTTATCTATATGACTAAATAAGACTTATATATCTTCAAGTCTATTCACGTAGTTTTAAATAACAAAGTTATGAAAGAATGTAGACTGTTGGTTAGTATTCACAGAGACCGAAATTTGGGCTTGGAATGTTCCTTGCCTCGATGATATATCGAGCACAAACAAGATGTAATTGATGTCGATGAATTTGTTTTATAAAACCCATGAAAGGATTGAGATCGAGGCGCGGTTTGGCAAGCAGCGTGGCTTGGGGAGGGGGGGGGGGGAGGTGAGCTGGTGACATTTATCTGGGAAGCGTGTCACACCAAAAGGATAGTATGTCAGGAAGAGTAGGCGCACTATTTATCAATGCTACCCGGCCATGAATATGGTTAATTATCTTTATCATTAGTATATTTCAAAATTAAATAAAAATAAATATAGCGTAAAACAGATTTAATGGAAATTTTTTTTGTCGGAGACATGATGGAGGGACGACACCATTGGCTAATGGCAACACGTGATTAGAACCTTAGCGACCGGTCTAAATGTGATATTTATTGCAAGCCCGGGCGATCTGCGCGTAGTGAAATGAAATGAAGATCGGATGGTAATAGGCTACAGAGCTGCATCAATAGAAAAGAGGGAGACAACTCCTTTGTAGGATTTGCTGAGTTTTTGATACCAAAATAAAAACGTTATTGCAACGTTATAAGATAAATAGTACATACTTTTGCGTAGGTACGTGGATACCACACTCAAACTAAATCAATGCATGACAAGAACTGTGCAATGTTTTTTTTCCAAATCAGAGAGCTATCCATGTAGTTAACTATCTATAGGGGCTCTTTGGGGCCAGCCTTATGTTCGGTCCTCTTGGTAAAAATGCATCGTTGAAGAGCGTGGTCAGCACCCTCTGGTAACGCTCCACATGGGCAGATCTCACTAGCTTGCTGTAGATTAATAGACATAATATTACCCTACACTGTAGCAGGTGGCAGTATAAGATGTTAGACCCATTTAGTTCAGCATTGTGTGAAAGTAGCAAAGTGATACAAATTATCACATATCATACCCTATATCATATCCCATATATCTTATATCATGCCCCATATCATCCGCAATATATTATATATCATACCTTAGCTACAACTCTACAACGCCTTGCCATAGACCACACCATAAACCCTTGTTGTTTCTGATATTAACTGTTTGCTGTTTATTGCCTTTGTGAAACATTGTAACATTGTTACATTTATTGTCAAATGTTCCCATTCCCTGTGCACATTTTTTGTGTGTGGAAATAAACGTTGGACATTAATTGTCAGCTATTTAAACATCTAAAAACCAAAAAGATACTATTTTCATACTTATTGTGGGTAATCCTTGATTGGATGACACTTATGAGTCTTTATGTTTAGATCTGACTTAAGATTGTTGGGTTTAAATACTTAGATTACATGTTTTTTTTTTCTCTTCCACAGATACTTGTCATCGCCATGGCCTTTTATCTATGTTCCAGACACGATTAATGGTAACGTCCGTCGAATCAAAAGCAAAATATCTTCCGAAATAGCAGACATATTTTCATGGACAAGCTCTTATACATTTCATTCTAACATCATAATAAGACAGCTATGAAATGGGACACATAAAGATATTCGCCACATTTTTAAGTTTTTTTTTATAGAATGTCGTTTCATTAGTTTGTTTATGCAAGTGCATTTATACACAATGTCACACTGGACAATCTGATATAGTTATACTGGTGAAGTATAGTCCCTAATAGTCATTGAGATATTAACATTATAGTATCTGGATTGATTGATAGCTTCCATAGTTTGAAATTTGGAAAATGTACATGTAATTTTACTGTACATTAAAAGTTTTTGAAAAATATATAGTTCGATCAGTGCCAACTTAATTATTTTTTTATATTTATTTTAAAATACTTGTTTAAAAGCAATAGATTTTGTTTCAATTTTTTTTTTTAGAATGGTACCTTATTCTTTATGTATTTAATAGACTTATTATATCTTAAAAAAAAAAAAGAACACCATAATAATGTTTCTTTTGGTTGCCTTACGCCAATTATTTCCTTTGAATGAAATGACCGAATGAGCGAGTGAGTTACAAAATGGTGCTTATGTTAAATGTAAATAGTTTATAAATACACAAGCCTGATTATTTTGTGTGCGGAAAGTGTTATTATTGAATAGCTTTAATGATATATTTTTTTTAATTTTTTTTTTATATATATACTTTTTTTTTACTGTTACTGAATTGTTCTAATCTATTCTATGCCATGCTCTCTTTTTTAAGAATTAGTTTTGCGACAAATAAGAATTCAGCTTCATCCTTTATATTAACCTGTTATATAACTACAATGTAAGGTTACTACACCAAGATTAAAATTAATATTGAATGGTCAATTAAGAGTGCAAAAAACATATTCGATCTTCAGGATGTCAGTTCTGAAATTTCACATTCTTAAATAGAACATTAGAAATTTAAATGATGCAAATATTACCTTGATATAGACATACATTTAATTTGATAAATCTCTCTCATAAGTATACAGAAAAGGAGAACGGTAATTAAAATAATGTTTTTACTTTTAATATTTCTAAACACGTTGTATTGGAGACTAGTTGTATTTATGTTTTATTGAACACTTGGCGTTTCCTATGATGCTGTGAGGTTTCAACTGTTATACATTTGTTATTCTTTTTCTTGTTCTATTTTTTCTATATGAATGTTACAAGAAGACCAAAGGGTATACTATAACTGAGCTTTAACTATGTTATAAATGAACAATAATATGTTGTGTGGTCATTGTTACAACTTGTTTGTTTTCACTCCTAACTTTTTGATTGCATAGTTCTAAACTAAGTGCATAATAAAATCAACCTTCTCGCAGTGGTGGTGTGAGAAAAACGTGCGCCAGAGGCAAGGTACTTTATTGGCGCCCTCCTCCCCCATTTACCATGAACATAATTAGGCGCCTCTCTATGCGTGACGCCCCACTGAGGCTAGCGCCAGGGGCATCGTGCCACCCTTGCCCGCCCCCCCCCCCCTCACTACGCCTCAGCTTCTCGATATATACAGCACTGTTCAGTGTTAAGTCTCAGAAAAATCAAGAAAACTGCAATTTTGCTTTTAAATTTTTTCTTCGACCTGTTGCTTGAATTTAACGGCGGAGGAATGCAGTGTACAAATAGATGTATTGATTTTTAATATATATCAATGTTTGTGTTTTACTACGCCTTTTGCAACAGTATAATTTTGGCTTCAAATATCCCGCTTGGCAACATTTTCTTGAATTGGACACTTTTTTATCGCACAGTAAGCCAAATTAAAATTGTTTTTAACTTTCTGTTGAATGAGAAACATATCTTGTTGGTCTGACAATTTATTCAATTTGAACATTCCACTTCCCAAGAAAGCCATTATTGTTCAATTGTTTACATTTATAAAAGAAAATAAAAGCCAATTATTTAAGGCAGAAGTCAACTATTGTGGATTAAAATATGTTCTCATTATTTTAATATGAAACAATAAACATCAAGAAAAAAATAATACTTACTTTATTATTATTATTATTATTATTATTTGTGTACTTATTAGACAGACCTTGTCGGCGAAATGAAAATCTAAATCTACCGCAGGCGGACTATAGTTATGCCTGCGCTGGATGTGGCAAAATATGTAGGTCAAAGCTGTGACTATGTAGCCACGTGAAATACAGCATTCCTCAATCTTGAGACTCGAAGACAAACCTTAATTTTAGTATTTGAACTGTTGCTCTAAATTATAAAAATTTACGGACAATTTACACATTAGGCTACGTACAAGTTTAACACTATGTTACACATCAAGTTAAACATAGAGCTTCATATTAACTCTTTCTCTCCGTAATAATTTTTCCACGTTTTGAAGGAATTCTTTATTTTGCTATTTACTATTTCACTACCCTGTTATGATATTTTTAAATAAAGTGTAACCGGAGTACATAAAATTACGGAAATATTGATAAGCTCTGGTCTTATTCTATTTTTCCCCCCTCTTTTGAGAACTGCTAGAATCCAACTTCCTCTTTTGCTTCTCGCACAAAGTATCGTTTAAAATTAATACGATCATCTACCAGGGATGTCTTTCACACTTCATTACATCCCGTCCCACGCATTTAAATCTGAATTAATTTTTTTTTTGTTGCTTTTGAATAGTGCTTCTCTCTTGCTCGGTTCACTCTTTATGGGATCCAGGGGGGAGGGGGTATCTGGGAGTAGATTTCAGCGAAGCCATAAGGTGCTAACCAAACACAACTCTTCTCCAAAAGGGATTCAAATTCCAGCCCCCTTGTTTCTCCCCTAAGTCTGACATCCCATTTAACTTGACTTGCCCTCTTCCTGCTATGAGAAATTGTGCGTAGTAGACTAAAGGATAATGATTTTTTTTTAGAATGTCATGAACATGTCATGTGTTTTAGAACACATGAGACCTAGGCACTTGATCTTCACCCCGTAACCTGCTCAGGGGAGCGTATGGCTCTTGACAGATTTTAGTGGGGCACCACTAGGAAGTTTGAACGCTGAACGCTGTGGGCCACACATCTGAGGCCAAAAGAAATGCACTTGTAGAAGATAGGCACAAAGAATGTAAAAATGGCTAAACCCCAGTAGAACAACGGCTTTGTATGCCTTAGATTTAGAAACTAGGTCGCAACTAGATTACCTTAGTAGAGTTAAGTCTATGGTACAAATTTTAGACATAGTTATAATATTTTCATCTATGAGCAATTTCTTTTCAATATATTGTTATAAACCTGGTGGTGGCACAGATGGGGGTAGTGGTGTGAGTGTAGTCAGCCGACGCAAATCGCCCCAGGGCAGCGCTAGACGAGTGGTCAACCGTGACGAGTCGAGTGTCAACAGGACGGTTCGGGAAGGATCGCCGTCGTGAACAGAGCTCAGGAGCGTCACGAGGGATGTAGTCATCTGACCACCTAGAAACGTCGAGCGGCGTTCTGTCCGGTTCGAGAAGGCCAGTAGGGACCCTATATAAGAGCGGAGGTGTTGCAGTCAGGTCGGTCGAGAAAAGGGGCTCAATACAGCACGGTTCACGAGAGAAGGTTCACGGCAGGGGTTCAGAGCCCGGTTCACTACAGTCCGGTCGACTACAACACAGTTCAGCGGTGTGGTTCTGTACGGAGCATTACGACGGTTCAGTGCGGAGTACGGTCATGTACAGTTGAGACGACTGGCGTCTTGATCTTGGTCTGTGATCGAGTCCGACACAACGAGCCTAGTGTGCGAAGTCAGTCCTGAACTGTTGAACCGAGATGCCAGTGCAAGAGTTGATACGACGGTACGGTGTTATCGGAGAGAGATTTGTACTGTGTACGTGTTGCCAATCGTACATTATTGGCTGTTATTTATTCTATTCTATTCTATTAAAGTGTTCGTTACTCTGGAGCCCTGAGTTGTCAAGTTCTTTAGGTTGGTGGTGTATGATGAAGTTTGCAGAGAGCCTGCATAGTGAGATTCGTAACAATATTTTAATATAATATCAATAGCAATTACACATCACGAAGAATGACAAAATAATCTATACATAAAATTCTTTTCGTGGCCCAACCATGCAGGACCCCACGATAAAGTTATGGAAAGATAACTCTTTTTTCTACAAGTGGGACTAGAGTTACCTCACGTATTTTTCTAGGCGAAAGAGAGAGAGAGCCTGGCTCAGAAAAAAAAGAGGAAAAGGGGGGTGGGGAGGGAAACAAGTATTCTTTCTCTTTATACATTCTATATTTAACTACTTTCATGTGTGTATTTCTTACACACGTCAATATCTGGTTGCATTAAAATGGTTGCTTAGTTTTGATTTTGCCCCTTCGTTTCCTAACTATGGCCACCGCCTCCCAGATATTTCGTGAAGTCAACGGGTCTTTCAATGTAGTCGAAATTCCTGCATCAGGTCAATGTTTATTTCTGTCTGTCGCATAATTCTGGGAAGATGCCATTCAAGAAAATTACTCTTGAGCTTCGCAAGATGGCTGTACGCTTTGTTTCCGAACACTTGGATAACTATGGCGACGCCCAGTCCGTCCTTCTTACGTACGGAAGCATAGTCATTCACTCTGCTCGACAATACGCTGCCTAGTAAGTACTTCAAGTAAATAGCAGCGTTTGCTACGCCGCGAATCGACTACATCATCTTACGATTGCAAATAGTTCGGTTGATTGCACGTTTTAATGTACAAACTTATCGATAACCTTCATAGTTTTTGACTATTTAAAAAAAAAAAAAAAAAAAAAAAAAGAAGCTATTAATAAAAAGCACACAACCGAATCCAGTATATGGAATCGTCTTCTATCCCGAAGATAATTGAAGACAACAATGTTTAAATCAAACCCTGTTGCATATTGTTACGACACAAGACTCTTCGAAATAATAATACACTCTCAGGTTATTACTCTATAAATACTTTAATATTACAACAAGTTATGTAAATACGAACATTTCATTTCTCTTCCTGTCAATTTCTCCCGGCTTCCCCTTTTAAACATCCCTTCCATTCATTACACAAATTCGCACCATTATTCATGCACACCGTCCTGCGCTACGACCGTAGCACATATATTAAAGGTAAATTTCGTGAGCCTAGATCAGTGATTCCGCTCTGTTATCAGAAGCAGACGCCTTGGCTGGCTTGGCCACGTTCGTAGAATGCCAGTAGGTCGACTTCCACAGGACATGCTGTTTGGCGATCTAATAGAAAGCAGGAGAGCCACTGGTCGCCCACTTTTACGTTATACGGATGTATGCAAACGCGACATGAAGCTCTTCAAAATCGACAATTGCAACTGGGAAGAGGTGGCACTGGACAGATCCACATGGAGAGAGCATAAAGGAAGGGTCACAGATTGCAGATGTCATACACAACAGAAGCAGAAAGAAGGGTGAAAATGCAACGGCGCTTGGTGATTATATATGCCCAACCTGCGATCGCAGCTGTGTATCAAGGATTGGCCTCTTTAGTCACACAA